CTAGCCATGAAAATGTCTTCTCTAGCCATGAAAATGTCTTCTATATTTTCTTTATAAATTTCCCATGTAAGCTGTTCATGTCTTAATAAAACAGAGTGTATACAGTTTGTAAAATATCAAACATGCTAATAATGCATACAAATTATATTTTGTTTATTGGTTTTGTTCAAATAGCTTACTTTGGATTCCCCCCTATATACACTGAGGTACGTCTTTCCTTATCCCGTAGTACACACCATTCATTTAACCTCCTTTAGTCTATACAAGCAGTGTCTCCTGATTGTTATTTTCTCTCTGATTGATAGGCAGTCAAATCCAGAGTTGGTGTCGTATAGCGGTGAAGTACGTGGAGAGAGCGCTATGGAATATGAATACCAGATTGGTAACCCAGTCAACCATATTTATGTTGTAAGTCGATTAATTGTATTTCTGAAATGTTTTTTTTCTTCTAATAATTGAATTTGTATGGACAATCTCCGCATGCAAGTTTCCAGAATATCATAAGCGAACAAAACAGTAGTAATACAGTGCACTCTAATGGCCACAGTGGTACATGTCAGTAATACAGCACACTCTAGTGGCCACAAAACTACATGTTAGTAATACAGCGCACTCTAGTGGCCACAAAACTACATGTTAGTAATACAGCTCACTCTAGTGGCCTCAAAACTACATGTTAGTAATACAGCACACTCTAGTGGCCACAGTGGTACATGTCAGTAATACAGCACACTCTAGTGGCCACAAAACTACATGTTAGTAATACAGCGCACTCTAGTGGCCACAAAACTACATGTTGGTAACACAGCGCACTCTAGTGGCCTCAAAACTACATGTTAGTAATACAGCACACTCTAGTGGCCACAGTGGTATATGTCAGTAATACAGCACACTCTAGTGGCCACATTGGTACATGTCAGTAATACAGCGCACTCTAGTGGCCACAAAACTACATGTTGGTAACACAGCGCACTCTAGTGGCCTCAAAACTACATGTTGGTAATACAGCGCACTCTAGTGGCCACAGTGGTATATGTCAGTAATACAGCGTCTTCACTATTCCATTTTCTAAACGCACTAAAGTACTTAGTATTTGTATGCGAACTTCTAGCATCTAACAGTCTACTGGTCATCTGACTTGCTATGTTGATAATCTCCTCATCAATCGTCTCGCCTTCCAACTCACTTTGCACTCTTTCTTGCAAATTTAGACCTGCAACATAATAATATTACATTAAGTACTCGTATAATCAATACGCAGTGCTAGCATATGAAATGCCATATACTGACCAATAAATATGCCATTTCTTCCCATTCCTTTTTGTATTATTTCTGTTTACGGCAAATAACGCCAATCTACGATATTCGGCATAAATTTCCCTTCTTTGGGACATAAATATGACCAAAACGGCGCAGATCGCCATTCAAGCTCTCGCCAGGTGGAGCTTTGTACAGCCTCGGTGGCTGAATATGTACCAACACTATTCACATTATCTTATCTCACGGAGAAGCCTCCGTAACCGATGCCCGAGGCATCGGAATATACAACCTGTGTGTATCTTGGCGTCCAATGCCAATTACGTCCATTTAGACGTTACGAATTATTCAACCAGAAACACAACTCATTCAGTGATTCTGAGCACACTAAGACTTTTCCCCGCCAACTTGTGCGACTATTGATACAATTAAACAAGTATCTCGTTCGGAGCCTCACTATCGGCCCCACAGCCTGATACAATGAAATTAACTGTCCCACAATGGACGCAAACATTTTCACTTTCACACTATTTCCCTCTGTGGAAATTATTTGAATGGCCTCAAGAATAGCCGCCAGAGCTCATTTGACTCATATTTCTTG